ACATCTAAGTGAAATATCTCATGAGATCAACCTGGTCATGACAATTCAAAACCAGATATTCTACAATGCATGATAACACATTTGCAATGTTCAAAGCCCTGACATAACCATTCTGGGCACCTATCCAACTAGCGAACCTTACAGTCCAACTAATAAGTTCATGTTCGAGCTGCAAAGTGGCATTAAGATGATCATCGCTAAGCTTTTTGCCGGATCCAATAGAACCTAAACTTTTGGCTTCTGTAATCACCTGACATTGACTACGATGGCATTCAAGCATGCGTTTCCACATTATGTTTAACCTGGAAAACGAAATTGCAAGAAAACAATTAAGGCAAAAAAAATAGTAAATGATAAGCAAATATTGGTTTGTGGAGTGACGAAATATTGCACATTCAGCAAAATCAAGGAACATGCTTCACTTCACTTATAAAACTCCCTCTAACACTTCATACCCTTTAAAGAACTCTCAGGCCAGTACCCCCATTATTGACATCCACCGCTCATCATCGTATACTTTTACAAGCTTCAACAGCTAAGACAAGAGATTCCTAAATATTAATGCAAAATACTAAAATGCCAAAGCAATGCCATTATGCAACCAATAAAGACAGCAAAAGGATTCTGATTAAAAATGCTAATTAAAGATATCAAATGACAATAAAAATGGCAATGCCAAAAGTAAGATGCAATTATGTCAGTTAATAACAAAACACTAGCAATGTACGTAGAGAATAAAGAATGAGATAGAAAAAAGTAAAATAGTTGAACAAGCAAAAATAATACCCTTCAATCAGTTCATTGAGCAGAGGCCATAGCTCCTCATCCTTGATCTTATTAATTATCACAAATATCTTGTCAACAACTTGAATTGCAATTCTTATCTTTGTGGATAGGCTCTTGATCATATGCCGGGTTGAATCAGTTTTTTTTGCTTCAGCACCCCTTTCGTCTAGCCGTTTCAACTTAACGACATTTCTTGTCATAAGCCACCCGCATCTTCTCCTCGGCCTGCATTGCATCAAAAACTTCTAGCTCAGGAAAATCAGAAAGGTTATGAAACTAATAAAAGAAGAGGCATAAAGCTGCTCTTCATCCAGGGAATAACCAAGTCACAGACTCACGGTGCTCATAAAGTAATCCTAAAATGGCCTTTCTTCATATTTCAAAAATCCACCAAAAATTAACACTACCCAGATGCCCAAATCAATAGATTTCAACAGAAAGAACATTAAAACTAAAAACACAACAAGAATTCAACATACCCATGAGTTCTCAGCAGTCTCCTCTGTGGGAGAGTGGCGCAAATCGAAAGCAAAGATAAGAGACTAGCTCTCCTGATCCTCACCGGCTGGCCTTTCTTTAAGCCATCGAGCGCGAAATTAACCTCATCCACATGCTCCATCATTTCCCCGAATTCTTGAGCCTCCATCAGACTCGAAGTCGACGAAATCCACGAAAAACTGGGCTAAAAGCTCGGTTTTGATTTATGCCGAGCTGGTGAAAATGAAAATGGAGGTCAAGGAAGATGAAACATCTATTAAAAAAGGAGGTGAATGAAGATGAAAAGGGAGAATATGAACAGAGAGATACATGAGAAGACGACTGCCCGCCTCGCCGGTGAGAAAGAGGCCACTGGATTGATCGATTTTACGGTGTGGAGCAAGGGACGGGAGAACAAATTGTTTTCTGTGTGGTGCAAGGGAGTTGCAGAACGATGGAAAACAGCTTACCCTTTTCTAAACGGCAAGTTATTTTACAAAAATTTTCTTTAATTTTCCGTTGACCGGAAAATAAAATACGTTGACCTCGAGTTTTACGCGAACCAAACACAAGAAAACGGGTCCTCAACCAAACATACCCTAAATATCATAATTTAAAGAATTTAGATATCAATTAATTTAATTTATTTTTAATTTAAAATATTATGTATAAAATGGATATTTCATCTTTTTAAAAGTACATTTTAACAACAATATCAAACACTAAAATCTTAATCTCAACTCATTTTTTTAATGAATAATAACCTTCCTTGAGTAACCACTTGTATTTAGGGATAGACATAGATCAAGTTGGGATCGATTTTTAATCAATCCGACTCGACTCAAAAATTATAGACTCTTCACCCAATCTAAATCCGACCCGAAAAATATGCACTCTTTACTCGACCCGCCTTTGAAGATAAAACTCGAACCTGACCCGACCCAACCCGGAATAATATATTTATAAAAAATTATTATTTTTATTCAATAAAAATAAAGATTGTAATTGGAGAAAATAATATATAGAGAGGTGTTATTGCAATTATCTCTGAATATATAAGATAAAATTATATTTTTTCTGCTTGGGTCAGATCATATATTTTTCACCCTAAACCTAACCTAACCCAACACGAACACAACATCTAAAAAACCCGGCCTTAACCTAATTTTAAAAAAAACATCTGATTCAATAAGATCAGATCGAGTCAAAACCCTTCGAGTTTGAGTCTCGTGCTCATCCCTACTTGTATTCTATGGTAGTAAATGAGTTGTTTTTTCCCTTTGTAAAAGAAGCATGTCCTGCAGAATTGGAATGGGGAATTTCTTGCTTTACAAAGAGAATTAAAATAAAATCCAGAGAAGCACATTATTAGGTGTATTTTTTTTTGAAAATAACATTATTAGGTGTACAAATATTTAAAGCAGCACCTTACTTGTAGCAAAGTAGTAGTTCAAGGGTGTAATTGCCTCCACCCAACAAACAACTACCCCTATAATAATAATGCCATTATCTACATGCCTTTAATATCACCACAACTCCCTTAATACAACATTTAAATCCTATGCTATTTAAGGCTTTTCCACCTATACCACCCTCTTCTTTTTAAGGGAAGTTCATCCACCCGAATCAAAGCATCACAAAAGACTTATATTTGAACGCTCATAAAAACTTATAGAAGTTATAAGATAGTATATGTTCAAAAGAGTCTTAATCATTTAACAATAATAAATGCTTATATACTCTTATAGAAATCATATTAAAACCAAAAACCTCTATTAGATAACAACTATCCCTTAACTATTCGTGTACGTAGACCAAAGATTAAGATGATTGATTGCTTATCTATTTTCATGTTTATTACAACTGCAAATCTAGGTTCATCTTATCATAATAATTTGTGGGTCCTTAAGATAATTAATTCATTTTATTGTTGATATTATTATTTTTATAATATATAAAATGACATGAATTCTAGTATACTTAAACATATATTATTTTTGATTTATGAGTATAAAAAAATCTAAATAATCTAAATATTGCATAAAATAATAAAGGTTACTATACCGATCATTGAACATATGAATAAAAAGAATCAAGCAAAAACAATAATAAAATAATAGACATCAGTCATGAGTACAACATTTCCACCCTACCCACCACTAATCTATAATAAAATACCCACTAGCTTCCTAAACAAGGCATAATGTTTCCTTAATTATTCATAATATCTAATGCTTAGCATATTTATTTGAGAAAATAACCTCAGTGACCAAAAATCCCAGATAATATACGATTTTGACTAACTTTTTTTGGATTTGCGAAAATGACCAACAAAATCGCAATGCGATCTCTAATTCGCATTGCGATCTCCACTATCGTAAATTCGCGTTGCATTTCGCGTTGCGATAGTTGGAAAATCGCGTTCGCATTGCGATAGTTGAAAATCGCGTTGCGATTTTCCATTTCGCGTTGCGATAGTCTACAGTTGTCGTTGCGATTTTCCAAATTCGTTGCGATAGTTAAAAAAAAGATTTTGTTTCTTAAGAATTTTCTCTAAAAAGATAGTATCCGCGCGGACGTGTCGAAGACACGTATTACCACGACCACGACCACGACCACGACCCGACCCGACCCGAGACGAGACGAGAAGGCGGCGGCGGCGCGCGAGAGTCCCCCTTGTTCTCTATCACTCAACAAGGAAGTGGGAAAGCCAAGCCTTAAATACCATTCCCAATAGTGTTTCCAATACTATGTGGGATTTGAGCATTACCAACACTTGTTCCCAATACTATGTGGGATTGAGCCTTAAATAGTGATATTATTTTTGAATGTTTTGCTTAAAATTGCAATAATCACGATTGATTGTAGATTGACTTTTAATTATGACATATTTAATCGTATAATACTAATGCAATTGGTTGCTGATTCAGTTGTTTTAAGGTGCATGATTGTTAATTGTTTCCTGAATAATCACATTGTATTGGAAATAAGTGTTGGTAATGCTCAATCCCACATTGTATTGGAAACACTATTGGGAATGGTATTTAAGGCTTGGCTTTCCCACTTCCTTGTTGAGTGATAGAGAACAAGGGGGACTCTCGCGCACCGCCGCCGCCGCCGTCCGTCTCGTGTGGTGTGGTGTGGTGTGGTCGTGGTCGTGGTCGTGGTCGTGGTCGTGGTCGTGGTCGTGGTCGTGGTCGTGGTCGTGGTCGTGGTAATACGTGTCTTCGACACGTCCGCGCGGATACTATCTTTTTAGAGAAACAAAATCTTTTTTTTCAACGAATTTGGAAAATCGCAACGACAACTGCAGACTATCGCAACGCGATTTTCAACTATCGCAAATCTAAAAAAATTGGTTAGACGTAATTTAAAACTCTAAAAAAAGAAAGTTAAAATGCAACTAAAAAAGTAAAAAATAAACGCAACATTATAAAAAACATTACATTTTAGGTTAGACGTAATTTAAAATATTATATTTTTTATAATATTTTAGGTTAATAACCGAAAATATGACTTTATTTGTAACATTTTAGGTTGCAACAAAAAATATTATAAAAATTCACATTTTAAATTACATCAAACCTAAAATATTTTTTTTATAATATTTCAAGTCGTGCTTATTTTTATTTTTTTTAAAATTTCATTTTAACTTGTACCGTCGCACAATAAAACTCCCCGAAAAAAAAACAAATAGACAAAACTAGCCTAGAAACGGCAAACCCCCTAAAATTTATAAATAAACAAATGTTATCTTCCTCCCCTTTTATAACCCCAATAGAATCAAGATTTTTATAAATTTAAAGGAATTAAACTTGAAATTAGAGATGGCAGCCGATGCAATTACAGGTCTTGGGAGTGAAAGAACAGAAACCGAAAGGCCTGTTTGGAATGTTGCAATTGATTGCATAGCAACAAGGCGACGGCAAGCAAACGCCTCTAGCTCCGCCACAGCAAGTACAAACAGCACACATCTGAAAACTCCTTAAATTCCTTTTGCTTTCATTCAACCACATCATCTTTTCTTCCAAAATTGGAACCATATCTGAAGACCCATTTACCTTCAAATCCATTACAAAATAAAGGGAAAAAAGTTTAATTTTTTGACATGAAAAACAAAGAAATTTGAACCTATGGAGTAGCTGGGTTTGCAGCGTCTGTGCATTGTCAATGATTAAAAAAGATTATGAACAGGTATGACGTTATAATTATTCCATACAATTCAAAAAGAAAACAAAGGGATCTCAAAGCAAGGATTTTGACTTACTTGTGCCATACTTGTAGCCTCGTTGTGATTGAAGACGAAAGCTGAAAGAAGCAGAAACAGGAGAAAAAGTGTGAACCCATGAGCAGATTTCATGGTTCTTGAGGTGTTTGCGTGAATTGCTGAACAGCTAGCAAAAGAAAAGAATGGGGAAATGTAATGTACAAGAAAGTGATATGGGTCTTGGTTGAAATTTAATTTGGTGCAAATCATAAATGAAGAACATTTTAACAGCTTTCGGTGGTGCTAAATCCAGTGCATCTTAAATGAATTTTAACTCCACTGCTGGAGTAGTGCAAGAAAAGGTATTTATTAGTGATTAAATGTGTCTTTATCGTCGTTGATGATTAAATTTTATTTTCATTATTTCATGTATTTAAAAATTATTGTGTTTATTTAGATTTTTTATAGGTAAGAAATCATAGGTATAGAACGTGGCTTCAATAGTAAAAAGTAAGGTTATTTTTTTTTAGAAATTTTAAGTTTGAGTGGTGAGGGGTAAATAAAACTCGACTCGATTCGATTCAAAAAAATCATTTTTTTTCAATTTCAAGTTATTAGAGTTATCGATTCGGTTTTCGTGTTCGAGTCGAGTTGAAAATTTTGAATTACCTGAAAAACTGAAAATTTGGCTCATTATTTTGACAGTTTTGCAATTTAGTACTTGATTTCTTTTTCCTTTAATTCCTTCTTCATTTTATGTTCATTTTTTACCAAACTTAAACCACATGCTCCTAAACTAATGTAGAATACTTATGTGCTTTCAATTCCTCTTTTCAATAACATTTTTTTAATTTAATCCCTCAACTTTTCATGATTTCCTTATTTCTTCCATTCATTTTAAGTTCATATTTTACCAAATTTGAACCACATGCTCCTATACCACTATAGAATACATATGTAGCTTCAATTCCTATTTTTTACTAAAATATACTCTCCTTTTATTTAGTCCATTAACTTTGCATTGTAGTAAATTTGGTCTTTTGACTGCAGTTGTTTTCAAATTCTTTCTTCCCATCAATTCTTTGACTCTTTTATACTCTTAACAATATTTTACCCTCAAAATATCTTCTTTAAAATATAATATTGTAAATATATTTTATAACTTTTATATTGCATTTGATATATTAAATAACATTATAAAGTGAAAAGAATATGAATATATACAGAGGGTTAGGATCCACTTACATCTAGTGTAAAACTTTTAGTTTTACACCTTTTTAGGATCGTTGGATGAGGGGAAATCAAAGGCTGAGATTAACTCATTGTTTTTTCCAGTGAATATCTTCACATTCCCTACTGTTATTCTCAATCTTTGATTTCCTCTCATCCAACGATCCTAAAAAGGCGTAAAACTAAAAAGTTTTCCACTATTTAATTGGATCATGTCCACACACACACACACATATATATATATATAAAGAAAATTAGAATTGGTCCTTACTATAATACTATAAATAATTATAATAAAATTTCTATAGAAACTCGAATAACTCGACTTGAAAAAATTTCAAGCTAAGTTCGAGTTATAAAATACGATTCGTCAACTCGAATAACTTAAAAAAAATTTCTCGACTCGATTTAGTGCTCACCCCTACGAGCAGTTGCGTCTGTAGAATGTATATACATTGTCAATAGATTAAAAAAATTTCAAACATATATTATTTTATAATTATGAGAGACTACTAAAAAAACTATATGTTTATCCTTCGAGAAAAAGGAAAACAAGTGTTTAATTTAGTAAATTACATTTTAACATGTACCACTAGCCTAGAAAAACATGAATATTTAAAATATTTGAAAACGTAATTAATCCTTTTACGAGGCCACTTTTCTCACTGAAGTACTTTATATTTTCCTTAATTATTAAGTTATTAATTTAAAGTTTAAAAATTAAAATCAGAGTTTAATTTATTTAATTTTAAATTGACGGTACCCATAAATTATTTAAATAAAAATAAAAACCATATTTTAATCTATTTAATATTAAAACAAATAGAATTTTAGAAGTAATTCTAATAAAAAGGAAAAGGGTAATTTAATTTTAAAATAAATAAAAGCCTTCAAAAAATAATTGAACCATTAGTTGTGTGTACGCGTGCGTGTAGTTGCGCACGTGTTTTTAATTTATTTAATATTAAATTATTAGAATTTAAGAAGTAATTAAATAAAAGAAAAGAAAAGGGTGATTTAATTTTGAAACAAATAAAATCCTAAGGGTAAATTACAAATTTGGTAACTAAACTTTACTTCTCTCTTATTTCACTCATTGTACTTTAAATCTTTTCAATTCTTCACTGAAACAAATAAATTGAGTTTTGTGGTCACTAAGTTGTTTTCTCACTAACGACATTATAAATGAATTGTTATATAGATGCAAAATGACATCATTTTGGTGAAATATTTTTTTAAAAATGAAATCATTTTAATGCCGTTAACTATTTAATGGCGGAATAAACCAAAGAACTCAATATATTAAATTCAATGAGAAAATTGAAAAGTTTTAAAGTTAAGTGAACAAAATAGGAGAAAGAGTAAAGTTTAGTGATGAAGTTTATAGTTTACCCAAAACCTAAAAATGTAATTGAACCGTTATTTGTGTGTGTTTCTGTCCCTGCCTTTCTCGTAATTTCGTTAAACAGGTTGCTACTTTAGGCTAATACCATTAAATAGATGAGGTGTTTTGATATTTTTTTTTAAAGAAAATTGTATATTTTTTTGATAAAATAATCAAAATATATACACACGTTTTAATTTTATTTTTTAAAAATATTATGATTTAGCAGGTTTTAGCGGTGCTAAATCGAGTTCATCTTAATGAATTTTACTCCACTGCTGGAGTAGTTCATGAAAAGGTATTTTATTTGTGATTAAATGTGCTTTATCGCCGTCGATTATTAAATTTTATTTTTATTATTTTATGTATTGAAAAATTATTTTGTATTTTTATAACTTTGGGTAAATTACAAATTTTGTCACTGAACTTTGCTCTCTATCCTATACTGTTCACTAAACTTTAAAATTTTTCAATTTCCTCACTAAACTTACTACATTGAATTTTTTATCACTCCTCCGTTCAATAGTTAAAGACTTTAAAACGATGTCGTTTTAAAAAATAAAATTTTCATCAAAATGACATTATTTCACATCTATATAATAACTCATTTATAACACCGTTAGTGAGAAAACAATTGAGTGACTAAAAAAATCCAATGTATTAAGTTAAGTGAGGAAATTAAAAAGATTTAAAGTATAATAAGGGAAATATGAGAGAGAATAATGTTCATTTACCAATTTTGTAATTTACCCTTATATTTTTTATGTTTAAGAAATCATATTTATAGAATGTATCAATGGCATCAATAGTTAAAAGTAAAGCTATTTTCCTTAAAAAATTTAAGTTCGAGCAGCTATCTCTGCATGGTATATATATATTGTTAATAGATTAAAAAAATTCTAAACATATAATATTCTGTAATTATCTTATACTATTAAAAACCCATACGATTATCCTTCGAGAAAAAGGAAAACATGTATTTTTTTTTGGGTTTAGTAGAATTTAAGAAGTAATTAAATAAAGCGTAAACTACATCAAATGCCACCAAACTTTAAGCGTTGACTCATTTATACACCAACGTTTTAATTTTGTCAATTTTAACATTAACATTTACTTTTAAGTGCAATTATACCACTTTGTCGTTAAATCATTAACGACATGATGCCATGGCAGCTTCACGCCATGACGCTGCTAAAGTGGGTGCCTCACCAAAACGACATCGTTTTACTTGAAAAGATTTAGTTAAAATTTGAGTTTAGTAGGATTTAAACTTTAGACCTTTGGAAACGAAGGCTAAAGCTTAGCCACTCAACTAACTTAAGATTTTAGTTATATTCTTACAAATATAATATACATGTCATACAGTTCAGATTTCCAAATTATGGTTAATATTTTTATTTTTTATTTATAAATAAAAATAATATTTTTTTTCTGAAAGCACCTAAAATTTTCAAAATTCTCAAATTTTCCCAAAACCCAAAGCCCTAAATACTAAATCCTTAATTTCACACATTGTCACCGTCGAATCAACGACCACCACCCACCACTTTCGTCACCAAATCCTTATCACCAATTACCCCACTCCTCCATTGCCAGAAATCAAAGAGTAATGTGTTAATCAATCATCAAAACACTAAGTATGAAATGTTCTAATCGAACTATGAATGGCGATTGATCGACGGGCGAATGGCGAATGACGTACACGATAAGAGAAGAAAACTTCAGTGTGGTGGCAACGGCATGCTATCAACAACGATGGTTGATGAATTTAGGGATTATGATTAGGGGTTTTTGATTTTTGTAGATTTTTTTAATTTTAGGGTATTTGGGGAATTTTGGGTTCTTTAAGGATTTTTAGGGTTTTTTAGAAAATTAATATTATTTATATCAACGAAACAACGTCATTCTAGGTTTCTTTAGGCATTTACGTCAACAACGTCACGACGCGTGGCTGCAATGTTATTGTGTCATTAAATCATTAACGTTTGAGTGGTATAATTGCACTTAAAAATAAACGTTAGTGTTAAAATTGGCAAAATTAAAACGTTGGTGGTATAAACGAGGCAATGCTTAAAGTTTAGTGGCATTTGATGCAATTTACCCTTAAATAAAAAAAGAAAAGAAAAGGGTGATTTAATTTTAAAACAAATAAAAACATAAAAATGCAGTTGAATCTTTAAATATGTGTGTGTGTTTCTGTCCCTCCCTTTCTTGTAATTTCGTTAAACAAGTTGCTACTTTAGATTCTGGTTGAGCAAAACTCAACTCGAAAAATTATCTTTTTAATTTCGAGTTACTCGAGTCGAGTTATTTGATTTATTTAAGTCAACTCAAATTATCGATTCGATTTTCGAGTTCGAGTTGCGTTGAAATTTGGAAATTTTGAGTTACTAAAAATCTAAAAATTTGACTGACTATTTTGATAGTATTGCGATTTAGTCCTTGATTTCCTTATTCATTCAATCCCTCATTCATTTTAAGTCCATTTTTTACCAAATTTGAACCACATGGTCCTAAACCATGGTAGAATACCCATGTACTTTCAATTTCTCTTTTTTGATAAAACTTTTTTAATTTTTCAATTTAGTCCCTCAACTCTT